TATATATATATATATATATATATATATATATATATATATATGCTGCATATCTATAATATCCGCATAGATGATGATGTATTTATACATACGCAGGAAGTGTCACACGGAATGAGATCGTCGCACCTTTTTGTGGTTAGCATCGCCGTAGCAAATCTGAGGAGTAGTTCGTTGATCTGCACCTCTTCTGCTGCAAACATAAGAGGCCCCATGAGCTCCTGCCGCACTCCTGCTGCTGTTGCTGCAAGCGCCGCCGCAGCAGCACCAACTAACGCGATAGGGTACCGCAGCCCCCAGCAGCACAGCACAGGGAAACTGCCGCAGACTGCCTGCGCTTCTTCGCCCTCCACGCTCAAGAATGCGCGGGCAGCAGTAGCTGCTAAGGCTTGCTGAAGCAGCTTTTCCATCAAGGGCCAATCTCCGCGATCCAGAAGCAGCAGTTGCAAAACCAGCATTGCACATGCCCTCAGCTGTTGCTGGACAACTTTACCCAGACATGGGCTCTGAGCACCACACCAGCACAAGTAGCAGCCTCGGACTTCCAATGACTCACAAACGCACCGTAAACAACGCGAACGACGAGGTGCATTGAAAAGTGCACGATCATAGGTGGTGGTCTATCCGCAGAACGGCTCAGCAGAGTTCAGAGAGCAGAATTCAGCACCAAGAGCCACGTCAAACCGGCAAACGCAGCAGTAGCCCTTCCGCAACATCAGCTGCCAGTGGAAGACAGAGGCAGGAAGCAAGCGGCAACAGCAACAAGGCAGCATCCGCCAAAATACCTGAGCCAATCGGGCCTCCACAGAGGAATATAAAAGCGGCAAGAGAGAACCGGCTATCTGTCGTGTTTGGGGAGGCGCCAGCGGAGCTGCCCCTACAGCGGTGCACAGGGCAGCTGACTCTAGCAGACAGAGCAGCAGCAGTGGCCGTTGCGGCTCGGCCACTTTCAGGCGCACGTCGGCTATCGCTGGTATGAGTTCGAACAACAGCGCAACCTGCAGCAGCAGCGGCAAAATGCAAAATAACGAGCAGCGCGCTGAGAATCCCCAGTGGTTCTTCGCTCCCTCCCCGTCGTGGGCCCTTGGCTCTCGCTAAATTCAGCAGTACCACAACGCCCGAATCACAGGGCATGTGCATCCCTTGTGGATGCTGTTGGCAGCTTGACTGCGTTCAGTTGGAGTTAGCAGGCCACGCAACTTTCGAGAACACATAAGTGTCTCTGAAACGTAAAAACAAGATGACGAAATGGGACGGACCTCGTCTTGCGAATGGCGCAGTGGGTCCGTCGCTCTGAGGACTCCAACGAGCATACGAAAGCCACAGCGTTGCAGCGCCCCCGATGGCTCTGTAGCGGCTGCCCAGAACAGAGAGACATACAGTGGCAGAAAACCACGTGCATACGTGCTGCATTGAAACAGACTCTTGCAAAGGAAGCACACAAGCGGGGACGGGGCAGGGGACCGGAAAAAGAGGCAGAGAGGGTATTCGAAACATATGCGGGAAAATCTTTTTACACGGAAAAGAATGAGAGGGGAAAAGAAGATTCCGCTGTTGCACAGGCAGAGAAACAAGGGGCAGGCACTGGGAGAGCACAAATGCATATACTTGCCAGACACAGCTGAACAGATATACAACTATGAAATTAGCTCTCCGTCTTCTCACCCATCTTGCTTCGGCCGGATATGCATTCTGGGACCAAAGGCCCACGAAATTTACACCCACGAAAGGGCGACATCACATCCATACACACGCCAAAATGACACAGACAAGAGATACGGGGGGGCAGAAAGATGAAGCAAGGAGCAACAGGGGCATGTAAGATATAACCAATGCCACAAGAGTGGACGACGGAAGCGAAATATTAGGAACCCCTCACCATCTGGATCAGGGCCAGCGCCAACTGCCCATCCGAAAGCCTGATGCACACCCGCATACGGCACAAACCACAAACCTGTGACCCTGAGGCTGAACCCCTACCGTCGCCTTGGATCCCTTAACTGCACAGGCAGACGGTTGCAGGGTCGGTAAGCATTTACAGAGATGCAGCCGGTTCAGTAGGTAGCTCCCGGAGGCTGCACCTCTCAACTAAACTGCCTGCAGTCACCATCCTAACCAACAACTTCCGAAGCAGGAACTCCATCTGTGTGAGAAAATGCTGCCTAGACAGTAGGAGCAACAGTAGCAGGTACAAGTAAAGCAGCAGAAGCAATAGGCAGCACCTGAAGAGCTGCGGCTAAAAGCCCCATGGGCAAGGTTGGTACGGGCAGCATCCCTGGTGGAAGATGTAGAGACACTTCTGGCCGTCCTATCAACAACGCGCCGTGCAAAAACGTTAGCAACTGCAGCTGTAGTCCCTCATTGTTCCCGTATGCTCTGAACTGATGAAGCAGCTGTTCGTACACCTGCGACCACCGGAGGGTGCTCCTGTTGCTGCCGTTGCTGGTGCTGGTGTTGCTGCTGCTTTGCACAACGATGCTGCGCAGGTATGCCAGGTCGCCGTAGTTTGGCAGGTCAGAAAAATCGAAGAAAGTATCCTGCAGAGGTTGCTCCTGTTGCTCCTCGCGGCAGCATGACTGCAGAAGCAGCAGCACCTTCAACAGCCTGCTGCTCCAGAGGTTGCGATGACTCTAAAGCCAACACAAGACGCAGCCACATATTCTGACCGCAGTTATCGCGGTTGCCCTGACGATTCCTACAGCTCCTCGTGCAAGGGCAACCGCAGCACCTACAATTGCACCTGTGGAATTCGTACGCTGCTTTCAGCAGCAAAACCAGCAGCAGTCTCGGCGGCTGATTGTGCTGACCTGGGCTAGAAGTAGCAGGAAGGGCCTCTGCAGCTCCCTATATGGGAGTTTTATCTGCTCCAGCTGTCCCTGATCCTGCTCCAGCAGCTCCTGCTGCTCGGAGCTGCGGTTAATCATTGCTTTGACGACGCTCAGTGCCCCCACTTGCACGCAGTTTGTAATGGCTTGGAAGAGCGGAGCTCTGAGGGCGGTTTCCACAAGGGTTTCGGTCTCTTGCAACCGTACTAACACCTGTTCCAGCTGACTCTGTTGATGCTGCTGCTGTAGAAGCAATTTCTGCTGCTGCAAGGCAGCGTGACGGTTAACGAGCACCTTCACAAGAGGCTGTGATATAAGCAACTCTTCAACCAAGCCCGACAGGATGTCGCGGAAATCTGATGGAAACGCCACAGAGTGTATCTGCAGCAGTAACTTCAGCACAGCGCAACACCGCGCAGCAACCACAGCAAGGGAGGCTGCCGCTTGCTGATTCTTGTTCGCTGCCGCTGCCGCCGCTGCGGTAGCAAACGGACCCGTGGCGATAAGCCACCGTAATAGGCGCGACAGATTACTGAATTGCTGCACTAGTTGCTGCAGCAGCTGCTTAGAGTCATAGGGTGCAGCGCCCTCGGCCCCAAGTACATGAACTGCCACCTGCCGCCGCTGTTCGAGTTGCCGCAGCTGTCCAGGCTGCTGTTCCTGCTGATCCTGTTCAAAAATACCTGCACGAAGGGCTCCTTGTAGCGACGCAGCCAAGACAGCTAAGAGCCCGTCAGTCTCCTGGACTTGGACTAGGTAAGTGGAACTCGACGAAGCAGCAGCTGCTGCTGCAGCTGCTACTGCAGCCCCCGTTAGATCTGCTGCGTCGGCTGCTGGTGGCGCTGCAAGCTTCTCCAGAGAGGCGCTCGCTGCGAAAAAGGTACGCAGCAGAAACGTCGGCCCTAGCAACCCCTGCGCCAGCCAGTCTTCCAACAGCTCCACCGCAGCGTCGCGTAGTGGCCGCGCCCCTTCTTCAACGCAACCAAGGCCCCCGTATAGCTCCTCAGGCCTCGACAGGAATTCGAGGGACTGCAAATGACAGGGACAACCGCCAAACAAGGTGGACAACACAACACCAGAGGAAGGTCCAAAAATACCAAAGACTAGATAAAGGTGTAACACTAGAGGAGACCAACATAGCGGCCTGCAACCTAGACGAAATTCCAACGTGAGCGGTTGGTGCACGTGCTTCTGCCGTGGTACAAATGTAAAGCGGCTTCAGTGGACGGGCGAAGCTTGTCCCATGCTTTATACACGCCAAGTAGAAGCAGATATTACTCCCGCATCTTCGGGGGCGTTACGGGAGGGGACCGTATAGCCAGCAGCGCTTGCATCACCAACAGGGTTCTTACCTCGGTGACGCTTGCCCTAAATACAGCCGGAGCGATATCCTGCATAAGGCTCTGCAGGCCCCCAACTGACGCAAAGAAAGTGCGGAGATCTTCAGATACTTGTGTTCTGAGAAGTCTTGCTTTTTCGTGCTCTGGCGCTGCGGCTGCTGCTGCTGCTGCCCGCGGGCCCTCCACCACCTCGGCTTGCCCACCGCCGGTGTCCAGCAGGAAGCCCATGCACCCTCGCACAGCACTCGCAATCAACTCAAGAGGAAGAGAGAGCATCGGCGAGTCTATTTCGAGCTCTCCAGTGCTGCGGTGGCTGAAGAGCTGCAGCAGCATCACATGCACGCAACAGCAGTACCACTTGCACGGGATAACCCAACCGAGCAGCAACCAAACTATCAGCAACAGCAGCTACTATGGGCGCGAAAGCTTCGACAGCAGCAGAAATAAAACGGCAGCAGCAGAAACAGCTGACCTTATTTTGCTGGACGGCAGCTAGCAACAGCTTCGAAATAGAACCCGATCCCATCTTTGCGAAAGTCCAGGGTTGACGGTCCGCCACCTCAGCGAAACCTACGACATTAGCAATAGTAGAAGCATCAGCAGCACCATTAGCACCTGGCAAGACGATTCGCAAAGGGTGAAAGGCGGGCCGATTAATAGTATTAAAGGCCCCGAGAGTGGCAGCACCACCACCCACCCCTGCAACTTTTCTTAGAGCTGCTGCCTCGCTGTTCCTACATGTGTTGTTACTGTTGGTGTTTTTCCTTGCCTCTAAGAAGAACTTTGAAAAGCTTAAATACAGCCCTCCCTGAATAGAAAATCCCACTTCTCGACAACTGCTGCTGCTGCAGCAACAACAGCAGCAGCTCGTGGAGTTGCTGTAGGGCCGGTAAGTCTCCCACATCGTGTGAGGCGCTACCAGCCCTGGCCTCGCACAATAGCAGAGCGCTCGCCATGTGGGCTAACAGCTGCAGCAGCACGCAGAACCCCACCAGCAGCGGCAGCAGGGCTAGAGCGCACATGTACCGCAAGCAGCAGTGGCGGTAGGGTTCCCACACAAGGAGGGTTGTTGGCGAAGGTCTCACCGTTGCCATGTCTTCCCAGGTGTCGCAATGTGCGAAAATTTCGCGCTGCATGCGTTCAACTTGCTCCTTAAGCCATTGGATCTCCTGCTGTCGGTTCTGTTGTTGCTGCGGTTGTTGCTGCTGCTGCTGTTGTTGCTGTTGCTGCTGCTGTTGCTGCTGCGGATATGGAAGCGGCGGCGCGTGGTCCCCATCACGATTGTACTCCAAATGCTTGTCCAGTCGCTGCTGCAGCTGCTGCTGATCCCTTAGAAGCTGGACATTAGCTCTGACGAGCGGCAACAGGCGGCCCGCAAGAGCTGCCACGAGCTGACTAAGGAAAGGCAGCAGCGCCCTGCAGACGGCTACGAACAAGTGCCCCCCGCCGATCCTTACAGTCACCAGCTCCTGCAGAAGCAGCAACAGCAGAAGCAGCAACAAACGTAGCAGAAGGACAGGTACCAACTGAAGCAGGGTGTTGGCAGTAGGTAAAATGATGCAGAGGAGTTTGCTGCGATAAAGGAGAGAGCAGAGACAACAGCCTACGTGAAACGGCGAGAAGACAGAGGAGACAGCGGAAGAGACAGAGGGACATGAGAAGACAAAAAGTAATTCACAAGTTTATCCAGACTCATGCCCTAGCAATCTTAGCGGGCTATGGGGAAGGGAGAGGAACATGTAGAGAAACTGCAGGCAGGGGCGGCAAAAGCCTCCGTGCCAGGCATTTCCTGCTGCGCCATGGTCACCTTCAAGATTTGCTTGAGAAGGTACGCGTACAGCGCAGTGTCTGTATCATCTCGTTGTGCTGCTCTCAGCAGTCGCACAATCGTTGTCTCGAGCAGCAGCATCAGCAGGGCTCCATCCGTTGCTACTACCTCGCGCACCGTCTGCTGCACCTGCAGCGGCCGCATCCCGCAGCCAAGAGGCAAGACGCTCCCCCAGGAAGAGCTGCAGCTGCTATAGCTGTCCAACATTTGCTGCACTGCCTGCTGCGACAGCACTTGTTGTAGTCTTGCTGTCGTTGCAATCGTTGTTGCTGTCGTTGCTGCAGCCCTAGCCAGGCGCCGCAGTAGTGCCACGTACACCTTCAACATTCGTGAACAGCGGGGAGCGCCCACTACTTTGTACAGGCATGCCAACAGCGCCTGGACGAATGCCAGTTCTCCCCTTAGCGCCTCATCAGCAGTATCGGAGCCTCTTGCCTGGAGTAGCGCGCCGCAAATACAGACAAACCAAAAAGCAAACAGCCCACAATCATGCAAACGAAACGAAATACGGGAGCACCTGTGAAGTGCTTTACAAGGCTACGAATTAAGCTTATGAACAGCCTTTGCCTCTGCAGTCTGTTGCTGCCTCTTCGTCTGACTCTATGCCTGTGGCCTCTGTAACCTCCGCAATGCAGACTTCTGCACGTCTCTGTTGCTGTTGCACCTGCTGCGTCTCACCGTGGATCTGCTCTGTAGTGCTCCCTTAAGCAGAACCAGCGCAGCAAATGGCGCTTCCGGGTCGTTGGGTACTGGCGGTTGCAGGTTCCCAGTGAGCTGCACCAGCTGGTCTGCTGCCGCTGCTGCTCCCTTGGCGGAAACTGCTGCTGCTGCGGCTGCCGTCGCTGTACAGCGCAAGTAGCTCTGCAGCAGCAGTGTGAGGTAGCCTGGGGACCCCTGAAACGCCATCAAGGACATCTCAGCCTGCGGACGCTGCGACGGCGATGCGGTGTCAGTGCACAGAAGCATGATACAACTGATCGCGAATTCCTGAGTTTTTGGGTCCCCTAATGAAGGGCTGGCGTCGGTATGTGCTGCTGGTGTATCTCCACCTGATGCCATGGAAGCAGAAAGTGCTGCATTATGCGCTTCAGAAAGGACAGCCAATTGCTGTTGGCAAGCCTCTATCGACTCCAGCAAATAGTACAGCTCAAGCTGCCAAGCTTCAGCATTTGGGTCTGGGCCAGATACAACCTGCTGCTGTTGCTGCTGTTGTTGCTGCTGCTGCCTTCGAGCAGCATCTCCTTGGAAGCCATTCTCTTCCATCTCGGTCGCCTAGTGGACAGTAGTGCTCAGGGGTTAACACAGAGCTGAAAGGAGTTGCCAGTCCGCTCCAGCAACACGACGGTGCCTGGGTGCGAAACACCTGATGGTGTACTACGGATGCTCTTGGGAAAGGCGGGGACTGTGGGGGCCTCCGCTCCTGTGCCTCCGGGGCCCCCGTCCTCCGCCCTTCCCTCCTCGTTGCTTTTGCCTTTCTTGCCTCCTGAAATTGAATTCACTGCATGTTGCTCCTCAACCCCCGAGAGTGTCCCTGGGACTCCCTCAACAAAAAACAGGAAAACAGATGCGGACAAGAGGTAATGCTGTTTTCGTGGGGGCCAGGCAGTGGGAAAGAAAGGTAAATAGGATGCGACAAAAGACACACTTCAATAAATTCTACAGGAACACCGATACAAATTAGGGAAAGAAGGCTAAGGCTCTAAGACTCCTCCGTGGACTCTGGGGCTCTGCTATTACGCGCATGCACGAAAACGATTGCTTAGCGGGCCAGCAGCGTTCACCAGTGCCTCGAATATGAAAAACAAGCTTTACTTTAAGAAAAAGCTCTTTATATGTGGCGGTAGTGGAGTGTGTTGCTGCTAGTCAGGGAACACAAACAGGCTGCTCGACGGGTGCTCGACGACATGCGCTGGAGTTCAGTAACTACGTTTAAGTCGATGACCAATTACCTACCGCTTCAAACAAACTGCAGGTACCTCAGAAGTGTGTGTGAATATGAATTTTACGTAGCGACCTTTCCGTTGTGGGTGCCATGTACTTGTATATCGGTGTAAACCCGGTGCTCTTGGGCGAAGGACGTGTAACAAGGGACCTCCGTCTCATCCGAGGGCTATAATAAGCGTCAATGGAGCACAATACTGTACATGAGTTACTTATAAGCAGATGAACACATCCAACCGTCCCGTGAATCCCTGAAAGCACCACCTATAGCCAATGGACCTGTGTGCGGGGAGGCTGCAGCATTGTCTTGTGTGTGTTGTGTATGCTGGCAAGTCTGCCTCCGTGCAGTGGATGCAAGAATCCTTACCCTGCATTTACCCTTGCAGAAGTTCTTAACAACTGCCTACGGGATCTGCACACAACAAGCAAGGAGGCTTAGTTGTCCTTGCATCCTAGCCTACCTTGCATCCTGCCGAGCACAGTGATGCGTTGTAACTCGTGGAAGCCGGCATCCTATCCCGCAGGTCCGGTGCTTTAGCAGAGAAGATCAGCATCCTGGAGATTGATGGAGGAATTCAGCAGCTTTGTAGGGACTCTTGCATATTTGGTTCAACTGCGAATCACAATAGGCCTCGGACATGATACAGAACCCGCGCTACACTTGAGACATCGGAAGGTTCACAAGGTGCAGATGGGAACGGCGAACGCCACCCGCACCGTAGGGCAAGCCGTTGCACAACCTGGAGTAGTATCGAGAGTCGTTAATTCACAGCCGGTAGTAGTAACTGAAGGTCCTTAGAAAACTATGATGTATACGGAATAACTCTCTTCAAACTCTTCCCACATCTTGGTCAAATATCAGACTTTTTCTTCCATTTCACAGCGATAATTGCTCAGGATCCGTACCTCTGTTGGGGGGGAACAACCGTCGGAAGCTGCGTCGTGTTGGATAAAGCTCAATATCTACAATTTCTGCACCTTCTGCAACGAAGAGTGTCATTATATCAAACCAAATTCATGGAGAATGCCTTTACCTTTGCCTGTCGTCCATACATGACGGTCGCGGAGATGCGAAGACAGCGGAGGTGTTTCGTGCCTTTCCAGAGCTGTATTATCGGTTCCAGAAAACACCGAAGGAAGTACAATTGCTATTTAGAATTGGAGGCACACGAATGGTGACTGTGTCTGTGCGGGGGTGCTGCTTCTCTGGAGCACACCCGGATTGAGGACTCTGGCTGGTACGTGCTGCGATGCTCGTTCATCCCTAGGTCGTAGGGGAACAGGCTCTGACAAGGTGAGGAGATCTTAAACGAGGAAAGTTATTGACATTGTGTTACTATCGAGAAGTATGAGTATGTCGGAGCTTCTGCACCTATTGATCCTTATGGGGATATTCCGAAGAGAAATCGGGAGCCTTCTGGGCAGCGGAAAGGGAACAAAAAGGTGAAGGAGTTGGTTATGAAAAGATGATTGAATTCTGATGGATCAAAGAGAGATCAGAGACGATCTCCAAACCTACCACCGTAGAAGACAAGGAAAGGCATGTATTTGGAAACGATCCGGATATTAGGCATACTTATGGATGGGTTACGAAGACCAGCCTAGCCCAGGGAGAAAGAAAATGCAGAATGCGCCAGCAGCCGGGGAAGCCGGCACTCAGAAGGCCGGAAAGACGTATGGAGCGGTGAAGCAGCTTCTTTTACAACAAGCAATGTCACAAAATTACATTTTGCAGACGTATGCCAGAATCGAGTGACTTGGAGAAGCAAAGCTTCGCGAAGCCCCGCCAGGCCAATAAACAAAGCAATCAGGGAAACGCGGGGGCCCCTACGCAACCTCCTGAACATTCATGGGGCTTAAAAATGGCTTCAGCTCCACCCTCAGGTGAAGCTGATGCTGATGACGCACATTCATAAATGGATCATACTACCATCATTGAGGACTGTTACATCGGACCAGTTCATCACAAGTTAACCCTAGACAAGCAGGCGATGACAGAGCATAGGGCGCAGATGCACCGTCTGGCACCTTCTCAGGATGTATGCAGAGAAACGAGGCGAGAGTGCACCTGTCAGCGTTTCCGCCGGGTTTTGCTTTTTCTTGGGTTAGAGTAGTGGATGAAATGTCCCAAAGAAAATAGGGCAAAAAGGTTTAAGCGCAGTGAAGAGGAGCTGCGGGTGACGACGGAGGAACTCACGCACCCGTCTTGAGAGTCGTGCGAAAACCGTGGTTTTGGGGATTCGATCCAGCTGAGGCCAGAGTAACAGCAAGAGTGAGCACAAGTGGAGGAGGATCTCTCAGCTATGCTAACTAACAATGAGCTTCAGCGGGGTTGCCCACCTATTGAAACTCAGTGCACTGCATCACCCTCTTCCCTGGTAGAGTGCCAAGCTTTGTTCCAAGGTATCCGCGATCCCCACATCTTCAAAAGGAAGTCCAACGGCAGGCAAACGAACCACTGTGAAAAGGCAAAATCTAATCGTCAGTTAGCGCATTTGTGAAATCCTCAACGATGACGAAGAAAAACGCCGGAAGGTGACATAAATGTGTCGACTTCAAACCTCCCAATACGCTGAAACGGAAGTTCAGGGTGCAGCGAATCGACACACTGCTTGATTGTTTCCAGGTTTCACCAGTATACTTATCATCTGACTTCGCTTGCTTATTCTTGCAGATTTTGCCCTTCCCCGTGATAGGCACAAGGGTGCGTTCCAAACCCGCAGCCTCAAGTCGAAGTACATACCCCTGGGACGCATGAATACACCTGCAGAACTCCAGCGGCGAGTCTGTGACAATTAGTTGGGTCCCACTAATGGAGCGTCAATGTCCATTTACTTGGATCCATTTACTTGGATGACAAGATTGGGTTCAGTTGGAACCTACAGTACCTAGGTTGTGTTCCGCACCTGCAGGACAACCAAGCGGTACTACCAAGTGTTGCCCGAGTCATACATACTATATACGGATCACCGCTTGTGCAGTGAAGCCGAAACGACTAAGGGAATAGGTCTAGTCTCCTGAGCTCATGGACACGGAGGCCGAAGCTGAAGCTGCGGGAGAGGAGGCGGTCCAAGATGAGTTGCAACGTGCCCTGCCGCAACTGGTTCTACTACACATATCCACAAGTAATCACAACTACGCCTTCTTACCTGCATGCGCTAACACTGTAGACAATTGTTTAACGCGCATGGTATGGTTAAGGGCAGGTTACCTACTTGTGTGCAGGTTGCGTGGGAAGGCGACAGATGATTTGGTGAGACAAACAAGCCTTCATGTGCCAACCTTGAAGAGACGCTGGTACCTGCACAGCACACGTGACCTGGAACACGCCGACCACGTCACCTGGGACCACCATCAAACTGCTTGACGAACCCCGTTAGCCTTCGACCCACTAGGCTGCCATATGGCGTCTCACCAAATATTACCTAGTCCATATAAAGAGAAGAAATTTTGCTGGCACACAGCTGATAAAGAATCCGCATTCGAGCGGTTACACTTTGTCAACTGCTGCAAACTCAGGGTGGAGTTTTGAGGGGAACATGGCGCACCACGGTTCCGTAGCTCAGCAGGTTAGAGCGTGTGGCTGTTAACCACAAGGTCGCAGGTTCGAACCCTGCCGGTACCGCACCTATTCACTTTACATCGAGGAGATATGTACATTTCGGAGCCGTATGCTCCATGCGCCAGGTTTTGGCCTTTGTGACCAACGCGGAGTTCACGAGCATTTGAAGAAGGATAAGAGTTCTCCACAAAGGGATGCGCTCATAATATGCTTCAAAACAAACACATTGCTCATATATAGTGCTCTCGCAGCTTTGCAAGATGAAGAGAAAGAATATTCACGCGTAGCCCCCAATGCTACTGAAGAATCCGCATTCGAGCGGTTACACTTTGTCAACTGCTGCAAACTCAGGGTGGAGTTTTGAGGGGAACATGGCGCACCACGGTTCCGTAGCTCAGCAGGTTAGAGCGTGTGGCTGTTAACCACGAGGTCGCAGGTTCGAACCCTGCCGGTACCGCACCTATTCACTTTACATCGAGGAGATATC